AAATCGAAAATACTAATCCTTCTCTCTCTCTCATTAAACTAATATGTCTTGCAACGTACATTCGCCAATATGAACAAATTAGAGTTTGACATATGAAATGCTTTTCATGTAGCCACTGGCGCAAAGAAGGATGGGGTTTAGGGTTCAAACCAACCCCCTCCACCCATTTGTTTTGTGGTAAATGGGAGACAACTTCTGCATTTTTCATAAAGTCAACTCTCTCTTAATCGATATCTCCCTAACTCGATGTTCCCCTAGGATACTTCTAACACTTTTCCCCTAACAAATTTAGAAAATTCACCTCCGTAACTCCTAGTTGATTGTGCAACATTTGATTTAATTTAAACGCTTGTTGCTATGGTCCATTTTTTTCACTAAATCCTTTATACACAAAATCTCGAATTAGAAATTGTTTGTCCTAGATTCTTTCATAATTCAGGAGAAAGTCCTGACTTCCTTAAAAAAGCTGCTTCTAACTACCTCCGGAAGTTTCTTCCGATTCAATCAGTTCATTAATTTCCTCAGACGTTCCCGAAAGATTTTTCTGACTTCCCCTGATATCACTTAACACAATTAGTAAATCTTGATATATCTGAAAAAAAAAAATATTTTCTTTCACATATAATTTTCAAACGGTGCAACTTATCCATGCCATGAATTGTTACATTTTAAAGCCATACCTATATTAGTAGTTTGAAAATAATAAAAATTGAATATAATGCGCCCATTGGGTAGCCAATAAGTGTAGCATCAATGAATAAAAAATCTTTGTTTTAAACAGAAAAGTATTTTTCCGCCAACAAAAATAGTTTGAATTTGTCAGAGCACACTTTGTTTTTTTGGCAGAATTCAGCTTGTTTTTTTTTTGCTGTGGTAGAACTTTAACAGCGTCGGTTGGTCTCTACTAGAGAGGGTCCAGGACAAGAGAGGAACAGACTGGCTGGTTTTAAGCTAAACGGACTGTCAAAACCAGAGCCAATCGAGCAGCGCCTATCTTGATAGCATTGAAAGTATAACCAACAATCAATACGAAACTAACGATTTTAAATTGGCTCATCACTTGACTAGCCTATTGGTCCCAAGCAAACGATTAACGTGCCCTATTCTAGTCGAAATTCTAGTACTACGCAATGTTTGTTTTGATTCGCTATGATAGTTTGACAGATAAAATGAGGGGTTATTGGTTTTTCCTATGTTTCGAGGGGTGAATCGATTAGCTTGGAACCGAAGATAGTACCAGAGCTGAGCCAAAAAGTTGAGCACTTTATTTCGGTGCGTTCTAGTCTTAGAGTTACCTCTATGGTATAATCGCCTAGGCATACACACTAATATTTTGTTTTAGTGTTCGGTAAATTTTTACCGAAATCAGTACAGTTACCGAACGATCAAACTTTGACCTTCATTTTAAAGGCTATTGAATTTGAAAATAATTTCAAACATGTTTAAATGATCAAATCTTGTCATTTTGGTGGAGATTTAGTTTCAAAGTAGCTAAAAAGCAATTGAATTGTATTGCATAAATTTTACCGAACAGTTCAGCTGTTCAGATTTCTGTAAAAATTACCGAAGTCGGCGATAATTTCTAAGTGTGTAAGATGCCAATGCAGTTTGAATCTGCTCATTTCTTATCCTAGACTCTAATAGATAATCTACGGTAACTGACAGATTGAAACTTTTGAATTAATTAATTGAATATAACTTACTGTTTGTCATATATTTGATCACTATGTTCAGTCAACTAAGAGCACCCGCACCAGTGCGTTGCTAAAGCTATTTTAGCAACCTCCACCAAACGCAGCACCCGCACCGAGGGTTGCAATGTACACCGGGTTGACAAATATAGCAGCGCGATAGCAACCGACCCAAGTGTTGCTATCTATGAAATGTTTGTTTTGTTTTTCATTTGAACATTGTGATATATGAATAAATTTAGATTTTGGACAAAAATTTGGACCCAAGAGACAGCAAAGCATTCCTAGATTGTTTTAATCAGCTTGTTGATATGCTGCATGAATCAATATAGATTTGAAACCAGTATGTGCACTCTGGTGGTCATGGAACGGTCCTTCGAAAGATCCGGAACATCCGTAAAGAGGGCTAATTCGTAGAAAAGATCCTAGAACTCCGGTTTTTTTAAATCACTTATTTTGATGCTACAGTAATGAATTTGGATCTGGGACCAGCATGTGAACTCTGCTGGCCACAACCAGGTCTTTCGGGAGGTCCGAACCAATAGTAAAATTGAAAAAAAAGATTCAAGAACTTCACTATTCACGTGTTCTGAAGCTACATGTATGAATTAGGATTTAGGACTAGCATATGCAATCAGGTAGCAGCGGTGTGGTTCTCTGGAAGATTTTGAACATCCTCAAAAGTAGATAATTCGCGTAAAAATCATTGTTTTTATTTGGATTTCCCTGAGGTTTTTAATCTTTCCCGAAGTTTATTAATTTTTCTATTGTTCCGGAAATTTTAATCACATAAAATTTTCTGAAGATCTGACATTGTTTCTGAAGCATCGCAAAATTCATGAAATCATTGAAATATCTCATAATTTATTTGAATCATCAACTTCCCAAAATATAATGAAACTACCAAAAAATCTATATACTTCTCCGAAGGTCTCTAGACGTTCTTGGAGATTTCTGAACATTTTATAAGATCTCGCGATTTTCTTGAACATAATCTGATCGTCGTTGAAGTTCCTGCATTTTTTTGCAGTTCTTTAATGGAACTTCCTTAAAATGATCTCACATTTTTCTGATGCTCATGTAAAATCTCTTATGTTTCTGAAATTTAAATAAAGGTCTTGGTACTTTGAAAATTCGGTACTTTCGGAAATTCTCAGAGTTTCTTGGAACTTCTTAAACATTCTTCAATTTCCATGAAATTAGTTTTTTTTTATTTTTTATAAATTTTTTTATTTTTTCCATTCCTGAAGTACTCTCAATTCTATTGAAGTTCATGATAGTACCCTGAACTAAATAGAACTGTCAAAAAAAATTCTCGAAGTTTTCCTGAATTTTATTGAATTGGCCGGAATTTATCGGAGCTTACGCATATAAATCTTCGTACTTCCCTGAAAGTCTGAAATTTCTTGAATTTCTCGAAGTTATGAAGTTATTGGGAGTGCCGTTGATATCTCTGAAATACCCTAAAGCTCTCTAGTTTAACTTCTTTAGGAAGTTCTTTAAAATGTCAATATTCCTCGAGCTATCTCCACATCTCTAAAATTATTTTGACTTCCCTAAAGTTCTCTGGATATCCCTGAATTTCTCAAATTTTCTTAAAAGTTCCTGCAGTTTTCCAAAGGTTTTGGAACCAATTTAAAAATCCTGAAGTTTCCACATATTTTGCGGATCTTTCCTTTTGTTTCCGCAGTTTGCCTATGAAACTGCCTGAAGTTTACGGAACTTCCCTTATGTTTTCCTGATGATGTTCCTGAAACTGTTCAGAAATTAATGGAACTGCCCAGAAGATCTTTAAATTTCCCTTTAAGCATAGATCTTCTGTGTAGCTTTCTTAATATTTTCAAGTTCATTCCCTGAAGTTTTTTTACTATTCTTAAATTTTCAGAACTTCTTGATGGTTTCCTCTATTTTACTAAAATAAATGGAACTGCCATAAAGTTCTTGAAACAAACCTAAAGTTTTAGGAACGTCCCTCAAGTTCTCAAAGTTTTCCTGACATTCATGGAACTGCCCTAACATTTTCAGAACCTACCCGAAGTTCACGTAACTTACTCATAGGTCATTAAGCTTAAATTTTCCTGAATTTAATTTAAACTGCCCTGAAGCTCTTGATCTTTGCTGAAGTAAATTTTCCTGCAATCTATTAGATTGCCCTGGAGCTGTCGAAACTTACTCTTAAAGATCTTTTAACTTCCCCACATTTCTATCAATCAGAACTTCTTAAAGGTTTCAATTTTTTCTGATGTTCATAGATCTACCGTATTAAATACGACCAACCGAGCTTGATAAATTTACAAGCTAAAATATGTAATCTAGTAATCCAGGTGGGCACCCGAAAATGCCTTTATGCATTTTGGTGCGCAAACTTTATAAAAAAAAGCATACGAAGATCGATATTTCGATCATTTTCACGAATTGATCACTTTTATGGATGTTCCGGATCTCCCAGAGGACAGTTTCGTGACCATCAGTGTACGCATTCTGGTCCCAGGTTCAAATTTATTCATGTAGCACCACAACAAGTGATTTAAAAAACCACTGGGCTATTCGGATCTTCCGGAAGACCGTTTCTTGATTACCTGGGTCAGTACTTGGATATTAACCTTCAATCTGCAGTCTTCGTGGTTAGATATATCAATATTGTCGAAAAAAAAAAACAATCACGAAAATCTGTGATCAATTTCAATTCAAAGTTCGACGATAAGTTTAGCAGCTATCGGTTCGAAAGCCGAAAACGTAAATTCACAATCGTGATAGCAACGACCGGTGCGTAAACAAGTTGCTAACTAAAATAGCAATGTCTGAAGTTGTCAAACTAGCAGCCCGAATAGCAACAGTGGTGTGGGTGCTCTAAGACCAACTAAAGCTATTTTAGCAACCTCCGCCAAAACGCAAAAAAAAATGAAATGGAAGCTCTCACAACGGACTGTAGCGTACAAGCAAGTTTTCCCACAGTAAAAAATTCCATATAAAACCTTCACAAGGTGTTAGGGAAAACGAACTTTGTCTGAATAGTTAACTAACATTAATTTTACAAACATCCAACGACTTCATTACAGAATCTGCTGTGGAGGCTGCGCCAGCAATTGACTTCGGCTTGTGAAACCATCCCCGTTCAAGTTTGGCTTGTTATCAATTATGGATTGCATCCACCGAACTTTTACTTAGCCAAAAACCAACTACCACCAACTTCAGCTAATCTGAATGGTTTTCCATTTAATCGATTTTCCACAAACACACCGAAATCACCCGCAAAAGTTCCATCTCACAAGAAAACATCGCCTCATAGGCCCAAACAAGGGAACTTACCTGCTCCCTCAGGTACGTTCCCACGCCAGGACTGCCAACGACCGAAAAACTTCTGCCATTTTTCAGCACCGGTTGCTGGTATCTGCTTCGCAGCAGTGCCACACGACACAAACTCAAGCCACGCCAACAAAGTGACATTTTTCACCAGAAAAAAAAACAAAAACTTAGTAACCACTGATTTACAGCCTTGGTTGCTTTCCACCTAAAAAAAAATAGCCAAACTTTGCACTCAAAGTCTATTTTAAACTGGTTGGTTATTTAACACACAATGTATTCTTGGCGGGTTGCCTAAACTAAATCACAGCATTATCACTTAACTTTACAAAATGAACTAAATTTGTAGAAAAGAGAAAAGATCACTCGAGAGGACTTTCCAATCGAATGGCTCAAACTCAACTAATCGCAATCGGGATTAAAGCTTGACCGTCCGGAATCGGTCATTCTGCGAAGGGGAACAGTCATTCAACAAGACACTCCTGTTTGTGTTTGCACACTACCTACTCTGGAAATCAGTCAGCAGTCCGATAGTGATAAGGCCAAGTGCTATATTTACAGCTTCTCTGTCCAGACGGATAGGACAAAGGGATCATCAGGAGGAAGAGAATTGAGAAGCGCCATACGTCATGATGAAGTGTTTGTGCTCTGTTAATGCTCAATAGGTAGAAAATGATGATTCAACAGATAGAATCCGTTTCACGGATGTTCTGAATAAATACTACATTGCTCGTTTGGACAAACAATTCTGTCACCCACGGCCACGATGAGCATCCGGATGATGTGACCTACACTACAATATAACCTGAATGACACGGCAAAATATAACAACTATTTGCATTTTTATGACCGATCATAGTTCACTTTGTTTCAAGTAGCGGTATATCAACATAGCAACCCGTTGTTGTTATTCTAGCTCACATCGACCGCTTGAACGGATTGACCCCCGTGTGTTCCTGATGATAAACCCTCGATGCTCACTCATCAATTGGGAATGGTTGAAATTGTGGACTTAATTTTTTATCAGATTGTGTCATTATCGGCAAAACCAACACCCAGAAGTGTGAACGGTAAATAACGACCCACAGGATATGTGTATTTAGTTTCCATTTTCGGTCAGCGGAGCAGGTAGATGCTAGATTTACGATTCAGATTTTGGGATCAGTAAATTCAATTTCCATAATTGATGTGTGAATAACCAATTTATAGATGCACGGGTTAGATGGGATCGGTTTGAAAACGTAATTTTGCTCGGTCAACCACGGTTCACTGCATTTGGCTTGTAACCTCATTGGTCAGCAAAAACCAAAATCAACCATTATTTCATGCTATAGGGTTCAATACCGCATTATCCGCTTCATCGCAACTGAATGCGTGAATGCAATGGATAGTGATGACGTTTTGTTTTACGTTTTAGCATTAATTCGGTTACTGAGCCCGACTAATACGAATTAGCAAAATTAGCATTTGAAAACTTCAGTCTGCTAGACACATCAGAGAAGGTCATGAGAATAGGAGCCTGCTGATCGAAGATAACCACTGCCGCATTGTGGGCCCATCCCGGCAACTCTCAGAGCGCTGTGCATGGTTTCTTCTATAACAACAGTAGCAGCTGCGATTGACCCGATTAAATTGAGCAGCGGTGACACTAAACCGGATTTATTGCCGCAATCTCTGCCAAGCCAGTTTACTATGTATATGCTTACGAGCTGCTTATCAATTTCGAGACAGTACGACTGGCATTTAAGTGATTGGCCGACAGCTCTGTGACATATCAGTAACAGAGGCGCTACTTTACATAGAAAGGTACTGGTGACCGTAATTGCCACTAGTTAATGATCACGAATGTGTCGTGATGAATAATAATAAAAGTTTCCAGCCCACACCGTACCGAGAAATGTAAGATTCCATTACAGATTAGTATAACAAGTACACAGAATTGGTAATGTTCCACTACATGACAATGTGGTAATTGGAAAGTTTTTAATATGTATAATTTATTAATTTTAATGTTAGCTTAATTTTCGAATAAAGTTTGTTTCCTTAATGCACTGTAGCTGGTGAGATGAAAGATTTTTACGAAAATATTCATTCTGGAAAAAATTTTGCGCTACAATTTGTTGTAAGTACTGTCATTACATTTGTTGTAAGAAACATATTTGTTGTAAGAAATCCACACTTACAGTTGATGTCCATGACACATGTTTTTCGTGCACGGAAGAATGGTCCTGTTGAGCAGCTAAACATGATGCAAAAAAAGAATATCGCATGTGGTAATAGATCAGGCATAACCAATTTTAATAAACTGGAGTTTGTAGTAGAAGCAAATAACTCTTAACAATCAACAAATACCACAAAGTGATCCATTTCAACCGAGATTCTCTTTCAAATCACTACATCACAACAGTTAGCATTATGGAGACGCATGGTACCTTAGAACAAGGGAAATTTGATCATTAGTCATTAGTTTAGTTTACTCACAATCGCAGAAAGTGCAGGAACTCAGCGATTAATTTTTTTTTCATGTTTTCCTGTGGAAAACCTTAGAAATCTGCCGGAAAATGAGGAAAATTGACTAAAGTTTTACTCAGTCTAGAAGTAGTACCAATAGACTGTGTGAATCCAATCTTTACTTTTCTCATATTCGAGTTTTTTTCCTGGACTAACCTGGACAAACATGAGGCAAATTTACTCATCGCTGAATTCCTGCACTTTATGTGACTTATGAGTAAACTAAACTCAAATTTAGGTGATTATATTGAAAAGTCTAGAGAAGTTCAGGAAAGTCTAAATATTTTAAGAGAAGTTCCATGAGCAGCCGGGTAGATTCGAAAACTTCAAAGCAGTTCCATTTGCTTCAGGAAAATTATGGAAACTTTTAGAAGTTATGAGCAGGCTTGCAATTGCTCATTACAGCTAAAATGCTAGTTTTCGTAATTATGAAACTATGGGATACTATGCTGATAATTTATAATTGTAAGAAGCAAGAAGAGGTGGTAAAGCTTGTGTATGACGTACAAAACCTGTCGATTTTGCTTTCAGAAGGTCACAATTAGCGATTTTATGATCGCTGATTGCTCGCTCATCGCGTTGCTCATCGTTACAGCTAATCGCTATTGTGACCCTCTGAAAGCTTAATTGACAGGTTCTATGTGTCATACACACACTTTACCTGCTCTTCCTGCATCTTGTAAATAAGAATCATCATTAAAACATCTCATAGCTTCATAAATCCGAAAAACGGCATTTTAGCTGTAATGAGCATTTGCAAGCTTGGTTATGAGGACGTCAGAAAAGTACAGTGAACTTCACGGAAGTCAAGAGAATCTCGAAGAAGTCCAGAACCATTCACGGAAAAATTTTTTTTTTTTTTTTTTTTTTTCCTTTGATTTGTTTTCCGTCGATCTTGTTTTCCGTGCTGAGCACCAATGCTACCGACGCCAGAGAGGCAGCTCCCACACCTGGACCCTACCTACCTATCGACCCATCAACTCATGAACCGGGGACCAACGGCTTTACTTCCCTTCCGAAGGAAGGCGTGATCAGAGATGTTATGCCTCAGAACATCCCGGCGGCGCCGACTGGGATTGAACCCAGGCCTGCTGGGGTGAGAGGTAATCACGCTTACCACTACACCACCGGCGCCGCTAATTCACGGAAAAATTCCGAGAACTTCAGGAAAATTCTATGATTTCCAGGGATAATCCTTGAATATCTGGAAAAATATAGGATCTCTATGGATTTTGCATTACATCTTATATTTGCAGCAAATAACAGTCACGTTTCAAGTTACCATGTCTGCCGGTATTTGTTTGTGATTCTTATGCACGCTTAAATAAATGGCGTAATGTTCGCTTCCCGATTCTAATTTGTGAACGATGACAGGCTTATGGTGAGGGTCTGGGTTCGACTCTCGTTGGCGAAAATATTTCAGGTCTCAAATATTTTTGTTTTTCCTTGATTTGTTTTCCGTCGATCTTGTTTTCCGTGCACCAATGCTACTGACGCCAGGAAGGCAGCTCCCATACCTGGACCCTACCTATCGACCCATCAACTCATGGACCAAGTACCAACGGCTTTACTTCCCTTTCGAAGGAAGGCGTGATCAGAGATTTTATGCCTCTGAAAATCCCGGCGGCGCCAACTGGGATTGAACCCAGACCTGCTGGGGTGAGAGGTAATCACACTTAGAACTACACCATCGTCGCCGCTGTTATACAAAGTTGTAAGTGCATATAAATTGCACATTTTGCCGAAGGAAACAAATCGCTATATTTTCGTTTTTAGGATTTACATCCGCATCTTTTTACACTAACTTTAAGGGGGTGTGTCTTGCAGGTTAGCAGGTATGAGCAGCTAATCTCATCTTTATTTTGTTCAGCAGCTAATACCCTACTGTTACGTATACAATTCAAGGGGATACCTGATGAATTTTCAAATAAAGTACGTCAATGTTTTGTTAAGTTTTGCTGTTTTCATGAACAATTTTCCAAGTATTTACACTGCTCTTTCAATGCGTATTTAGGTCCCCAACTGTGCTAAATTTGATCGAATTAGATTATAGTCTCGATTTGCGGGGGAATTTTAAATTTTATATGGGAAAATGTATGGAAAACTGAACGCATTCATTTGCTTACCAAAAATCCAAATATTGCTTAAATTTCACCAAAGCTCGGACTTAGATTGAGAATACTATACCAAACATCTTTGTCGAAGCTGCAACCAAAAATGGTAATGAAAACAGCAAAACGTAACAAAACTTTATTAGAAATTTCATTAGGCATCCCCTTAGAGTCCACTATGAATTGAATGTGTAACAGTAGGGCATAAGGTGCTGAACAATATTCGATTTCCGTGCGTTATTGAGTGCTTAAAATATGCTTTATTTGAAACCAATTCACTTAAAATATATCATACATTAATTTTTGGAGAACCTTTTTTACTTATTTAAGCTGGAGGATCGCAGTAGGCCACGCTTGAAAGCTGCCGTGTTTTTCTTTTGCTACGTATTTTTCGTCAGTGAATTAAACATTTTTTACTTTAAATTTGTTGACTTGTGTGCTGAAATTTCGTTTCAAGTGTTCATAAAGTTATCATTTAGCTAGGGGCATCCCACTCTAAACTTTGTATTTTTTCTAATATACATATAAAAATCTTAGTGATATTTAAGACACCCAAAAATATTTAAAAATACTTAAGAAATATCTAGCGTTAGTTTATTTGCCTGGTTGCTATGTCAATTCGATTTGCTTGTTTATCCAATGTCAGGCGATTTGTGTGGATATTGGTTAATTTGTTAAACAATTAGCTTAAATTTGATTAGAAGTTTTTGGAGGCGAACCAGCCCAAGGCCCAGCCTCCCTAATAAAGATAAATTAATTAATTAATTGATTAG